GTCCATTCTGATGTTTCATCAATCCAATGGTGTAAAGCAGGGCCTTATTCACCATATACATTGGTGGGGACACATCCTCCCCCAATATTCAGATACACTCAAAATGTCCCCCCCAACAAATAGAAAAAAAAAAAAAAAGTTTTAATTTTTTAATTTTTAAATTAAAATAAAATTGCTATTCTATGACTTCTTTATTTTGGTTATTTGTATACTTGAAAATCTATATTTTCTGTTATTGTGAACTTCACCAAAATGATATTTCTTTTCATATGTAAATTGGTTCCTTATTTTGTACCCGGGGGTGTATTTCGCTGTTGCACGTCTGAGTCCACCTTCAGTTAGCTTGATGCTCCAAGCAGGTCATTGATGTTTTAATTTGCCCTCCATCAGTTCTGGTATGTTTTCTAGTTAGCCCTAAAGTAATCTATATTATTTTATTTCGTAATGGTAATGTTAATGAACCGTCCGGTTTAGCTTCTTTGTGTAAGTAACTTGTAGTTCTGATGTTAAAACCGAACTTTTCAGGAATAGTAGCTAACTAGCTGTGGGCTAGCTGGTTTCAGTTGTTAGCCAGGGTTTGGCGGGCTAGTGTCAGCTATGTGGAAAATGACGGTGTCGATTTGGATGTAATCCAATAGATATTTATTCATGTGGATTATTTCTATTTTATTTTGTAATTTGTAGGGTGTGGAAAGATTTAAAACTGTGATGTGTGACACCTATAGAATACCAAAGGTGCCAGAATTAATTAAATAATAAATACTCTACAATTATTATGAAATAGTATTTCATAATCGTCAGAAGCATTTAAAAGATACTCACACGCAGGAGGTTTGCAGTGTGCATCATAGTTTGTGCTGGGTTTAGAACGCTCAGAATTGCTAATTAACATGTTTAATTATCTTATATCCAGCGCTGCTGACCCATATTCATCACATCAGCAACTGCAGATCGCCGAGGTCAAGCTGTAAGCATGAGCAAGAGGAAGGGTGGCAGCAGAGGTCGCGTTAACCGAATATTTTCCGTCAATGACGGATTTTTTCTCACAATGACGGAAAAATCTGAAAGCAGTCCGTCATTTTGACGGATTAGAACACAACTCGGAGCAGCGCTAAAATGTCCACCAGCGGCCCACATTATATTACATCCTTAGTGGCCAGGTAGACTGAAGGCGATCTACTGTACTCTACTCTGTAACTATTATTTAGTCATTCACACCCCTGTCCAGTTGGTGGCGAGTGTGTGTATATTAAGTAGCTATTGTCTAGTCTTGTTTTTGACCTCGTTGTTTAACCGGCTTTAGCAATCGCAAAATGTCACGGCAGCTGATCGTCCGAAGCTTTTTTAATAAGCCCATTCAATGATTATGTGAATAAGTTCATGAATTGATTCCTTAAAACTCTATAAACATGAAATGTACTGAAGCGTACGATGAAAACATGAATAAATGAGGTGATGTCAAGTCTCCGATTTACAATGAAAAATCGAGGTAATGTACATAAAAATTATGGAAAATCAATGAAAATGTACTAGACCCATAATTACTACACCTTTATATTAGTTCAACCGAATTTAGTCCTTAAATAACAGGTGGACTACATTTAAGTGTTCGGGATGGGACGGGGTCGTCCCCGCTGCCGGGCCCGGGGTAACCCCTTATGGCCCCTCAAAGGGGCCCCCTGCCACGGAGACCACCACCCGGTCCTCCGGTGTTTTTTTTTCGACAGCAACATACCATATTCCATAATAATATAAAAAAATAAAAAACGGATTTAGGATGAGGACCATCAACGAAGTCTCCTATTTGTTCCGAGGTTTCGCATTTTCCGCAAAAACATATCAAACACATATGTCATTGTCATAACATCGCTCGGCCCAAGTCTCCACTCCCCCGAACGACTCCCCCTCCCCCACCCCCCCCAACCGTCCCTTTGCCACCACAAGTCCCCCTCACGACATGCCGACATGGCACAGTCCTATCTTTTCCCCCTTTCACTTAGACTGAGGGTCTCCAGCGCGCCCGACACCTCTTCTTTGCACACGGGTGTAAGAACAAATGACTCAAATCCATCAGATCGATCGTCCCAAATAAACAAAACCCAACGTCAGGTGAAAACGGAGGTGAACGACAAGTTTATTTAAAAATGTCAAGACAAAGATATACCCACAACTTCTTTACTTCTTCTTCTTCTTCTTCTTACCCTTCCCCTACTTTGGGAGAAATTACCAGTGTGTACGTCTCGTGTGTCAGTGTGTGTACTTACACAAGAAGACGAAATTGGGGATCATGGTCCTCAGATCATGATCCTCGTCACCCGTCGAATAACATGTCACGGGCCCTACGTTACCCTCACTCCCCCTCCCCCTACAGGCACGGAAACGAGTTCCCCGTGGTGCGTCCCGTCCCTCCACTTGACCCTGGAGAGGTTCATCTTCAGGTGTGAGATTTAACAATCCAGAACAGCCCCCTGAACTTGGCCGCTGGGATGCCCGAGGTGTCAGTTCAGGTGGATGACTGACGGTACTAAATCAGGAATAAAACGAGAGTTTCACGTGGTCCTAACTAGTAATTGAAGTTGTAATTTCGAGGCCTGGGGGGGATCTTCTCCACTCCTGGTGGGTGGACCGGGTGGTGGGGGACAATTTAACAAGAGTGGGTGTAACTCCTACGAAGGATGCGGGTACAAAATAAGGTACACGTTCAAGCTCACGTTTAACCAGTTTTACAATAACGTGTTACTAGACCAATTGTAATTTTAGCTTCATTTATATACGACATGTGATAAAACGAGTATCCGGTTGATTGCCGAGTGCCATTACACTAATGATATACTTATTTAACAGGTTATTATTGTATTTTACGTATCCAAAAACAATTCAATGTATGAAAGCCAGCGGCGCGGCTATGTACGGCGCGTAAATTCACCCGGACAGACAGTAATTAGGGGCCCGGTGAAAAAGGAAGGGTCAGCGGGACGGGACGTCATATTGTTTTCAGTAAGTTTGATCGACGTAGAGATGGTCGACACTATGTTGAAATTACTAGTTAAGTAAGTATTTTGTATCAGCATCCGGGTATATGAATAAGACTTTGCTGGTTACAATGAAAATGAAACAACCATCCGGATGAAATTGAATATAACAATATTATGGAAAAGATATAAATGATTGCATTTGTAAAACTTACGTCTGAAAAGGACATTAAGGAATGTGTTCTAGACTAAAATTTGCAAGAAGGTAATTGTCGGACTACATTCAAACGTTGACGGCCACAAAATGAGGTGAAACAACATTTATTTTGACGTCGTCGAACTGGTGTCTCGCACTTGCAACACTGTCGGACTAACACGCGTCCAAGAGGTCACACACGCGCCCCGGTAGTCTTACACGTGTCGCCCTCAAAGGGGTGACGACGGTCAACCGCCTCAAAACCGTGTTAAGACCAAAAGTATGGCTGCAATTGGGACAGACCACGTGTGCCACTTGTTGAGACAGCAGGCACTAGATTCGGAGACGGAGGACATTTTCGAAGGTGTCCAGGCAGCAATACAGGCCGCGCGAGCCCGGTCGTGGGTCAAGTCAAGTAGGTGTCCTTCAGGCTCCTAAAAGAAACGTCCCTCGAGCCTTTGCCGTTGCATCGACGAAACCTAAAAAAAACTGTACAAGATCATCAAATGAGGTAACTCAGAACTGTTCTTTTTGGTGCACATCCTGCTTTACACACAAAACAAAAACTACAAAACTCCATGCGTTTCCGCGCAACACTGTTTTCACTGCAATGCGTAAGGTCTAAACCCCGGCGCGTACGCAATGGACGCATGGTCAATACACGTGGGGACTATATCAATGGGCATAGGGAACAAATGTACCCAAACACGTACCAAACACGTGACTTCCCAACTGTCAAAGACGGGCAGTAAAATAAAAGCAGCAAAGATTACTACTCTACTCTGTCATAAATTATAAATACAAACCCATGACTCGTCGTTTACAAGTAAGTAAGTAAAAACAAATTACTAAGTATGTCTTGAAAATTCCGTACATCTTTTTTTTTTCTACTTGTCTTGTCGGCTGGCACACCAGTGAAAAGTACAGTTGGTGCTTGTACTTACTAAATAACAAGGACGTGACTGTCCTGTCGTCCTCCCCTCCGTCTCCGACGATTTTTGTGGCGCCTGGTAACACGGATTTGGTCCGGTTTATACTTGTTACGGTAGCAAATTTAATCTGTTAAATGTTAGTCTTAATACTTGTTTTGTAAATGTTCTTCGTGAGTTACTGAACGACATCGGACTTGCGACTAGAGACGTAGCAACACGGTGGAGACGTTTAGCCATGAGTAGAATCGAAAGACTTCTACAGCGTCTGTGAAAACGGTAGCAAAGGGAGGAGTCGGTGAGTTTGAGAACAGAGGGTGACTTGGCCATGAGGGCGAAACTTGAGGAACGGTGAATGACCGAACAGGAAGTAGGAGGTGGCGAGTTAGGAGAAAAAGTGGAGCAAATAGGTGTGGTAG